CTGGGAGGTGGAGGTTACAGTGAGCAGAGATTGTGCCGCTGCACTCCAGCCTGGGCAACAGAGCAAGACCCCATCTCAAAAAAAGAGGGGCAGAGAGAAGTGGAGAGGAAAAGTCCAGGAGAACAGAAAAAGGGGAAAGGAGAAAAGAGAAAGTGGAAGAATTGCCTGATTAGTAACGAGCACTTTTCTGTCCTGCTTGTTCTGCTCTTTGAAATTAAGAGCTTAAAAAAGTCTGCATCTCCTGTCATGTTTCTCAAGTGAAGATCACACACAAAAATCATGCTCACATGGTTGGAGGAAAGATTATTTTAGTTGGGTTGTGAAGGATGGGCAAAATTTAGATACTGGTAAAAACTAGTTTCCAAACAAAATAACAAGCAATTGAAAAATTTGCCATAGGTTCTTTCCACTAGAAATGACCTAATATCAGATATGCTCTAGAATTGTTGATACAGTCATAGCAAACAGGTGAGAAAAAAAAAAAAAAAGCAATGCCTTATATGCATCCATAGTGAATGTGTGTGCTCACTGATGGAGTACAATAATATGCCAGCTGTCATTTACTAGATGATAACAAAGTGGCTGATGCTGCGTTAAGTGCTTTATATTTATATAAATTTTATTAGTCAGGAGCAAAATGGCTTACTCGTAACAAAGGTGCCCTTAATTGACAGAAAACAATCTATTCAGGTGGTCAGAAAAATTGACCTAGAAGTGAGGAGAGAGGCAGGGATTCATTACAGGTACACAGAAACAAATACACTGATCAGGAACTCACAGCTATCCATATCCAGGTTCGTCAGTTAGATGACTCACTAGCTAAACAAAATCAGAGCTGTCCCTTAGACAATGGGAGAGAATTCAACTTAGTAGCTGAGCATAGTTTCATTCTTAATATTTATATTCCACATCAAAAAAGAAGATAAGCCATATGTTAAACAGTCTTGTATTAAATATCCAACAGGAAGAAATCATTTCCTCAAACTTAGAGGACTCTGGTATATACTATCAAAACTTATCTGTAGCATTGGTAAGTATATTTATTTTCATAGGGCCACATATGTTTAGTACCAGCAGAGAACAAAAGCTTCTTGACTATAGCTTATTCAGTTTAGCTCTTGCTTGCTGTCAGATCTCTTCTTCAAGTTGTTCACACACAATACATAGGAGGGAAAGAGGCTATCAAGCTGGCCATCAATCAATCTGAATCAGGAAGGCAAAGCTTATAGTAACTGAACAGATTTTTGCTCAGTAGAATGAATTTATGTTAGCATAGGTGGAGGGTGGGAAGTGTTCAAGATTGTTTTAATTATTTTCATAACTAATTACAATCAGAAGATAAAAAAAGAATGAAACACATTTGTCACTGAATCTAGTTCATATACCCCATGAATTTTTTCTGGTTGTATTTATGTATCCTTCCTCCTAGATGACCCAATCATTTTGGTATAATCACCAACCAAATTCAGCAGCAATCTAAAACAACTATTACGTGGCAAACAGGATTAGATGGCCCATATAACAGTGGGATCACTTTCATCTTCAGGAAAACCAGCATTAGTGCTAAGATCATTAAGAAGCTCTTATACTTTAACTGGTATAACCGTTTTCTAACTTACTTACACCACAGTTCTGTAACCAATTTTCTTTCCATAGATATGAACTAGGCTTAACCTGATTAACAAAAGTGTTTTCTAATTCTTTTCTACTCATCTTAAAAATGTACAAAACCTCCTAATTAGAATATCTGATAAATGATTAAGAAAGCCAGTAGGTATGAGAAATAAATAACTGGATTTTATCATTGAGAATACAGTTAATAGGGAATCTAAAATGAAAATGTAAAAACATAAATAACTAAAAATGATAGAAATGATAAATTTGATAGAGTTCCTCAAATGTAAGGCATTGTAGTTAAGAGTTAGCATTATTTAGATAGCTTAAGTCTTTTAAATTACTTAGATCTTTTCCCCTACCCTTTTTTTTTTTTTTTAAATCTGGTGGACATTTATATGAAATTAATTTCTCTTGTGGCACAGATTGATCTATTTCTACCAAAACTTCCTTGGCCAAAATCCTACAGCGAGTTTTAAAATAATCTGTTTCTCTTTGTTTTTAAAGCCAGTTTTTACTTGCATTCTCTGTTGAAGAATTATTCAGTTCCCTGGTCAGGTAAAATTGGTATATTAGCAATTTTCTACTCATAATGTAAACGTAATTATATTAGAATGTGCTACATTAGAGTTAGGACAAAAATCAGTGACACATGCTCTTTTCTAACTTTTCCATCAGTAGTTTCAGGGAAACATCAAGAGTGGTTGGGCATTGTATTAGAACATCTATGGCGCTTCAAAAAATACATTTACACATAATACATAAAAATATAAATATATACATATATGGGCATTCCTGGATCCTAGCACCTAATACACTGCTTCAGAGTAGGATCTGGACTTTGCAGTGTGTTCTAAGTTCTAGAGGTGAAAATTGCTGCATTGTTACTCCTTAAACCAGTATTTCTGAATGTTGGTCTTTATACCCATTTTAGTCGATAAGAGTTTTCACTAGGCCATAGTGAAATGAAAAGCCAGGAAAGCTAAACTTATCCCAATTTAATTTATAAATTATTTTCCTTCCCTTCTACCCCCCCCCCACCTTTTTGATATTAAAATAGTCTCCCTTTTGTTAAATAATGTTGATGGTAGATATTTATAATATAATGACTTGGCAAAATAAAAAGTTGGCAACACGTATGTAACTAACCCAGCTGTTCCACCTTTTTTGAGATTTTACAGATCTGTGAAATTCAAAAGTCTGGACATTTCTGCCTTTAAACAATTTAAAGCAAAAAACATCTTAGAACGACTTGGTAAGTGGGAGAGATGAACCATTGGTACCATCTTTTAAGGTTAGGAAATGTAATTATGCTCTAATTTGGAAAACATCTGAAAGACTTCACTTCTCTATCTTCTCTACTAAGCCCTTTGTCTTGTGAATTCTCTTCCTCTGCTGATTCTGCATGGCTTTCTATCCTATTCAGTATCAAGTTCTGATTTTTTATTTATTTTGTTTTCATTTCATTTCTAAGTATTGCTCAATGATCCCTCCCTCTGTGATATGGTTTGGCTGTGTCCCCACTCAAATCTCATCTTGAATTGTAGCTCCCATAATCTCCACATGTCACGGGAGGGACCCAGTGCGGGGGTAATTGAATCATGGGGACAGGTTTTCCCATGCTGTTCTCGTGATAGTGAATAAGTCTCATGAGATCCGATGACTTTATAAAGGGGAGTTCTCCTGCATATGCTCTCTTGCCTGCTGCCATGTAAGACATGCCTTTGTTCCTCCTTTATTTCCACCATGATTGTGAGGCTCCCCAGCATGTAGAACTGTGAGTCCATTAAACATCTTTTCCCTTATAAATTACCCAGTCTCAGGTATTTCTTCATAGCAGTATGAACATGGACTAATACACTCAGGATAAGTTGCATTTTCTTCTTCTTTTTTTTTTTTTTTTTTTTGAGACGGAGTCTCGTTCAGTCGCCCAGGCTGGAGTGCAGTGGCAGGATCTCGGCTCCCTGCAAGCTCCGCCTCCCGGGTTCACGTCATTCTCCTGCCTCAGCCTCCCAAGTAGCTGGGACTACAGGGGCCCGCCGCCACGCCCGGCTAATTTTTTGTATTTTTAGTAGAGACAGGGTTTCACCATGTTAGCCAGGATGGTCTCGATCTCCTGACCTCGTGATCCGCCCGCCTCGGCCTCCCAAAGTGCTGGGATTACAGGCGTGAGCCACCGCGCCCAGCCCATAAGTTGCATTTTCTAAATAAATTCCTCAAATAGAAATTATTCCACAAGTTCATTAGTTCTATAATATCTCTTATTTACTTGAATTATCGAGGGCAATAATCTGTCATTTTTGTTTCTGCTTTTTTTTCTTTTTTCTTTTTTATTATACTTTAAGTTCTAGGGTACATGGGCACAATGTGCAGGTTTGTTACATATGTATACATGTGCCATGTTGGTGTGCTGCAACTATTAACTCAAAAAGGAACACTGAAATTGCCAAAAATTTAGAAAATCACAAAAAAAAATCACAAAGGAGAAAATTAAAATAAACCACAATTCCACCAACTAGAGATAATCATTGTTAATATTCTGGTCATATTCAACCAATACCATATATACTATCATTAACTACTCTTTTAAATCAGGATTTTTAAAATGTGAATATACTACACTCAAGGATATAATTTAGTTTATAACTCCTTGAATCAATTTATTTTTAACAAGAAAAGTTTAAGAACCAGTATCTCTTACTTATTTCTTAGTTCCAAATTAGAGCACAGTAAAAATATATAAATAAATACAAACAAAAAGAAGCCAACCACATGCCAAAACTTGAAAGATCATAACAGCTCTATCATTTAGCTATATACTATAATCCTTTTCTGATTAAATATTCAACTTAAATGTTATTCATCTTTACATTCTTCATCATGTTCTTGTTTTTGTTGTTTTTGTTTGTGTTGTTTTTGAGACAGTGTCTTGCTCTGTCACCCAGACTGGAGTGCAGTGGTGCAATCACAGCTCACTGTATTCTCAACCTCCTGGGCTCAAGTGACTGTCCCACCTCAGCCTCCCAGGTAGCTGGGACTACAGGCGTGCACCACCATGCCCAGCTGATCTTTTTTTAAAAATTTTTTTTATAGAGACAGGGGTCTTGCTATGTTGCCCAGGCTGGTCTTGAACTCCTGGGCTCATGCGATACTCCCACCTCAACTTATCAAAGTGCTGAAATTACAGACATGAGCTTTGCACATGTTTTATTGTGACTATCAATTATAGGGAACTTTCTATGTGTTGGGTAGGCTGAGCTTTACATTAACTTATTTAATGTTTTAAACAAATGATTACACAAAACAAAAATAACTTAGGTATGTACCAGACTAGCAATCATAGATTCATATATTTCAATATTAGAAACACTTGAATTTTACTTTACCTTGAACAAATTTGACACAGTGACTGAAGAGAAACACTGGGCATATAGGTTAAGGCAGCATTGTAACACAACAAAAGGAATGTCAACACTTCAAACCTAAAGACAAACAAAAAGAATATTACCAAATCTTTAGAATTCTAAAAAGTCAACTATAATAGGGGAGAGGGCACTCCTTGGGAAGAGATATAATGTTACAGAACAGACCTGCACAGTATAAGCACACTAATAATGAAAAACTAAAGGAAAAAAAGACTTTCCAAGTAACAGCCATATGAAACCTGTCTTTAAAATTCAATGTTCCAGCTGACACCTGAAGCAAGGCATACTGACAAATCTAGATCTATTTTTCTCTTGTATAAAATGACTGAATATTCAAATAAATTGTCACACACAACTCATTAAACATTATTTGTAAATCTACTGAAATAATATTCTTAAAAAATTAGTGGAGTAAGGTAAGAATTTTTATCCCCACAGTATACCTATTCTGTGCTGTCAGCATCTCCCTTTGAGGATGAGGTCCACTGTATACCACTTTTGACAAACCATGCTGGGATAGTGCACTCTCGGTCAGAGCCATGGACCCAATGCTGGAAGGCTAGAGAAAAGACATTTGAATAAAGAAAAAAAAAAAAGCTATTCTACTGAAAAGGTGATACTTAGAATATATATGTACCACTAAAATAGCTACCATGAAGAACATCATATATCTTAAACACATTTAGGCTGCCTACCAATTTTTTTGCTCAAAGATTTAATAACTAATTTTTTTTTTTTTTTTTTTGAGATGGAGTCTGGCTCTGTCACCCAGGCTGGAGTGCAGTGGCCGGATCTCAGCTCACTGCAAGCTCCGCCTCCCGGGTTTACGCCATTCTCCTGCCTCAGCCTCCCAAGTAGCTGGGACTACAGGCGCCCGCCACTTCACCCGGCTAGTTTTTTTTTTTTTTTTGTATTTTTTAGTAGAGACGGGGTTTCACCGTGTTCGCCAGGATGGTCTCGATCTCCTGACCTCGTGATCCACCCGTCTCGGCCTCCCAAAGTGCTGGGATTACAGGTTTGAGCCACCGCGCCCGGCCAATAACTAATTTTAAAACAAACCACAAATGAGAAATGAAAATCAGTTTAATTTCAAAAATTCTACCATGGAAATACACAATTGCCCCCACTACCCCCGCCAACACACACAAGTAGCCATCCATCAGGAGGAGTGAAAAATATTTCAAAAAGAATACTTTCAATAGATCTCTTATTAGCAGATTTTAGTTTGATGTTCAATTATTTTGATTTCTCATCTCAATTTGGAAATAGTAAATACTTTGCGGGTATTTATACTTTTGCAGGTACTAATAAATTGATCATTTTTTTTTCCTAAATAACTAGATTATAACTTGTGGCAATATCAAAGCTTAGGGTCAATAAACTTGTTATGATAAAATGTCACTTACTTCATGATATACAGATGGTTTGGATAAAGATGGAATTGTAAAACTCAATACTTTGCTATGTCCCTGTTTGTCAACTATTTCCTATAGAAGTGAAAGAAAATATATTAAAATACATACTTTCTTACACATAAATTTACAAACTAAATTTAAATAGTCTAAAACATTTTTTTAAAAAGACCTGAATAGAAAGGAATTTTAAGTTAAAATCTTAAACCATGATAATCTATTATTATTCATCAACACCGGCAGTTAAACTGTACATCCTTCCACTTAAAAAATATATGTAACATAATTTTCAGGATGGCTGAGATACAGATATAGTGTCTTAATAATCCTTGATCTTCCTCATATAACAAGTTATATTTGTTAAGTGAAGTAATCATTTAAATATGAAATATGTGAAGAAAATGACCTCACATTTCTTTTCCATTTTGAAAGGTACAAAACTTAAGTATCTAGAATACCATACTAATTAATATATAAACTCTATTAGTAAAGCAAGCTATATGTTAAAACAATGTTGTACACTCTGGAGACAGTCTAGATTTTATAGAACTATAATTGGTGAATATTAGAGTAAATCTTTTCTCCCAAACCTTCTGTGAAGGTCAGAAACAGATCATTTATAGGCAATGAACTTTAAGTTTACAAAATTTAAAATGCAACACTGATATTTTCAGATATCGCTATAAAAGAAATGAAATGATCCGATTTTCAACCTTCAATTAATCCATAAAGGTATAGTTACATAATTACATATATGTTTGTATGTCTCCCAACCCCCAGAAAGTTATATTTGGAAGAATGGGCTATGAGTAATTTGACATATGAAAAAACAAACACTAGCTTCATTAAAATGATAAGCAGTTGCACAGGTTATATATTTGATTTTCTCAAAAAAGATTTTGTTAACTCCATTAAATACAAACCAAATTGTAAACCCCTAGAAGAAGAGCTTCAATGCATCCACTGCTATGCACATTTCTGCTGGCTGAGACTGCAAGGTAGCACCAAATTAGTTCTGGGAGAAATTGCAGCGTAAATTGAAGCAACTGCTCCTCTCCACTGCGATAGAATTCAAAGAGCTGGTGACAGACAGGTTCCAGCAACTGGAAGAAACACAAAATGTTAATTCAAGAACTGGACTGTATTTGAATGGAACTACTATATGAAGTATAAAAGGTTTTCTCAGATTGGTAAAAATCATGTCTTTTTAAATTCTTAAATACCTAAGTTGTAGGGAGTTTCTTCCTAAAATATCCTTTCTTCCTGGTAAAACACATGCCAATATATAAAGGTTTGACTATGGGGTTGAAGAAATTGAAATAGGAATCCTGGGTACTTACTGTCCTATCTCCCTCCTCCTGAGTTTATAATTAGGCAACATCTGACAGCAATGATTGGTGTGTAGGGGGGCTAAATAACTACAGACCCCCCTAGATCTAGATCCCTATTGTGACCATGACTAATTGGCCCTGGAGAGTCTAAAAATTGCTGTAATTTTATTTTAAACATAATTTGGAGTCATCCACAACCTTTTCCTCTCCCACCACACTCTCAACATTATCCAGTTAACAGAGCTGACTGCATCTTTAGAAGGGGCTTTAAGAAATCACATAGGCAAAGTAAGACCCTCTTACAGGTAAGTATTCTCTTAAAGCATATACAATGATCACACACAAGTCATACTCAAATATGTTAAAAGATTCACAAGGTACTGTTCACAAGGTACTGATTTTTCAAGCAAATTCTCAGGCTCTTTATTATATATATATCCAATGAACTACACTTCACTAAGGCAACAAATTTAAATAAATATACTAAACAGATTTTCTACAACCAATAATGGTAATGAACAGAAACTAATTTACAGTGGATGTTTTGATTTCAAGTAAGTGAAATATGTAAACTGAATATAATTAAAGTCAATATTGTTTATAAAAGGTATAACAAAAGTTATACTTCAATAAACATTGACTAAGTCAAACTAGTCTTTCCTATTGAAAAATTAATAAACTTCTGACAGTTAATCTTCCACAAGGAATACTTTTTCCACTCCTGAAATGGTCTTTAGAGGCCAAGAGATGTCCAGTGTGGCCATGGAAAGACAACAGAAAAACAGAGGGGCAGGAGGCAAAGTCATCCCATTCAGAGATAGCAAGAGAAGTTTTTAGCGCAGGAATTTGAAAGAAGGGGGTTAGAGGTGGCTGGAAGAAAGAATGACTGGTTAGGGATGTTTTAGCTTTCAGGGCGGAGTTTTTAAAATTTTCTTTGTGGACCCATATCAATAATCTCGAATTGTGGCATAACATCCCTCATCTCTAAATTCCTTAGAAAGCTAAATCAATTGAGATAGTCTAACAAACACTGCGAAATTATGAAATCTTTTTTTTTTTTTTTTTTTTTAGACAGAGTCTCGCTCTGTTGCCCAGGCTGGAGTGCAGTGGCCGGATCTCAGCTCACTGCAAGCTCCGCCTCCCGGGTTCACGCCATTCTCCTGCCTCAGCCTCCTGAGTAGCTGGGACCACAGGCGCCCGCCACCACACCCGGCTATTTTGTATTTTTAGTAGAGACGGGGTTTTACCGTGTTAGCCAGGATGAGTCTCGATCTCCTGACCTTGTGATCCGCCCGTCTTGGCCTCCCAAAGTGCTGGGATTACAGGCTTGAGCCACCACGCCCGGCCATTATGAAATCTTATTTGAAAATTTATTCAAGACAGTTTGTATGAACATATAATTTTAATCAAAACATACTCAAAAGGCTTTACAATCCATTTAAAATCCAAAATTTAGAGTTTTTGCCGTACAAAAGTGTAACTTAATGAAGACCGATTCAAAGGGGAGGTAAAAATATATCGCAACAAGATTAGATGAAATTATGCATTTGAAATTAATACAGATAAATATCAATATCTGTGAAGTGTGTCCCAGATTGCGAAGTACTTACACATACATAAACCCATTAAATTCCCACAACACTGTAGGGTAAAATATCATTATCCACACTTTCCACAGAAGGAAACTAAGACAAAGAGGCTATCCGCTATGACCAAAATCACATGGCTTACAAGGGTCAGACCCAGAGCCAGGTATTTTGACTTCTTTACTAACATACCTGAAAAATGTCAGGAAGAATAAAATGATATACAGTGTGGGAAATATGGACAGTGTCTGACATATCTAATTTGACTATATTTGAAGCAAGCAAAGGAGCATCAGAACCTGCTGTGTTCCTGGTGTCTGGGTTGCATTTTTTAATGTATTTTTTTTTCATGGAAACTGTGTTATTTATCGTGGTTACGTTTTACAGTACTATTAAGAGAGACTGTACCTCAAGTATACTTATACGTGTTAAATGGCTTTTTTGGGTTTAAGGAGAACCTAGTCACCACGTGTCATCTCTCCATTGTAAAATATATTTTGAGTTCTAAAACAGCTAAGCCACAAATGGATTTTTATAACAATCCATTCATAAGTAAGAAGTCTGTATTATAACAGAGATTTCTAGTGGTAATAGGCATATGACTCAAAAATGCTCTTTAGTGACTAAGTAAGGAAAATGTTCTTTAATGACTAAGCAGGAAAAGAGTCAAGTTTTGGTAAATTTAGAAGGAAAATCTTGTAATATTTTTTGTATTGAACAATTACTGAGGAACATTGGGTAGGAAAAGGATACGGAAAAGTTGGAGAACACTACTATTCAGGAACCAGCAGCTACTGGTACCGGACCTCTCTGTTCTCTGGACTCCAGACTCCTAGAACTCGAAGGGGACTTTATGTAGGTCTTTCAAAAAACAGCTGATTTCATAACAGACTTAAGCAGTATTAACCTCTACTCATATGCCTGTCTCAAAGTTATAGTCAACTAAAAGCGCCATTTAAGCAAATTGCACTGTACCCATATAAACTGCCTCTTTATAAGTTTCTTGAACACATCACACATCCCAGGGCCTTTCCACCTACAGTTCATTCTCCTGGAAGGCTCTTGCCCCTGATTCCACTCCAACTCCTAATTCGTTTGGATCTTGATTTAATCACCAACTTCCTCAGTCCCAACATATATTTCCCTTCATTTTATTTATCCTTATAGATTTATCACTAACTGACATAGTATTATATGTTTAGCTATTTGTTTAATGTCTATCTCACTAACTAGAAAACAAGTTTTAATCTACAAGATTAAGAATTCAGTCTATTTTATTCTCATAATTCCTAAGTGGTTCCTGATACACTGTATGTGTTTAATAAATATTTATTAAATGAATAAAACTGAATAATGAAAAAGTACTATTAGTAAAGTTTAAATGCCAAATTCATTGAACTTCAAATAATACCAGAAACAATATCTCAAATTTCAAAAATTCTGGAAACAATAATATCAACTTGTTAGGAATATTTTCAAATTAAGACACAAAATATTCTAAACAGCAAAAGGGAGGTTACAGTGTTAAAGTAGATTACACTTTTGTATTTTAGAAGCACTTCCAAATATATCTGAAAGAGCGAGTGGTTTTTTTAAGAATACAGAATACACACTGTCTTCACCACATGAACCAGAATAAAAGCACAAAACAAACTAACATGCAAGACCAGAACCAGTGCTTCGGAAAGTATGGTCCCGAGGATCATCCACCAACTGTTACCAGTCTCCAACAATATAAACATAGAAACTGAGAGGAAACATTTAGAAACTTTTATAGCAACTTAATATTGTTACAACATCCAAGTGAGCCATCAGATTTATCAGAGTATACATCAGTTATGGAATATCAAATTTGTGTGGTGCCTCACACTGTGGTGTGAGTTGCATGTTAGTCACGTACTTTAGATACACATATTTGTCTGTGACAGATTACAATTTTTTTAAAAACCTGGTCCGTCATCACTAGTAGTTTCAGAAACATTGCTCTGAACCATCAGAGCTATATTTACTAGCATTATCTGAATAAAAGGAATGCTATAAACTAATCTAGCCAATCATAAATTTATCCTACAAACTCTTTCCAAAGTAGCCTAGTTAAAACATACTTCATCAGAGGAATAATTTTTAAGCTTCTCAAAATAATAAATAATACATGAGCATCAAGATTTAATTTGTTAAAAAACATAAAGCACACGGCTATACTTACCCTATTTTGTGAAATAATTCTAAACCAAACATGCAAAATTTTAAAACAGCTTTCACTCAATATTTAAAAAGTAAAACCCTTCAAGAAAACAGCCTACCTGTGCATTCTATACAAGTTAAGAAGTTTTGGGGAGAAGGAAGAGACAAGACAAATATGATTGTTCAATTCAGTTATTCCAGTTAAAGTTTTTTGGCTTGTCAATATATACTCCCTAATCCCTTCAACACCTAAAATTCATGATATGCATTACAGTATAACCAGTAGGAGTGGGCTATTCGACACCCCCTCCAAAAGAGGTTAACTACTCAAAAGAAGATCCTCCCTCAATTTTGGTAGTTTAATCCCAGAGATACGTAGATCCATATTGGACTGGACTCCAGGATATGTTACTTTACCACTGAATCTGCTGTTAGAGTCTATCATGCCATCCATCAAACTCAAGTACAAAAGGAATTATTACTTCAGATCCCTCTCTTCTACCATACCTCTTTCCACTCCACCTGACACTGCTCAAGTTTAGGTTCTCAACAGCTCCCTCCTAGTCTACTGTCATAGCTTCCTAGTCTTCTTGTGTTCCCCATTTTTTCATTTGCCAATCTATCCTCCACATAGCCACCTTCCTAACCCCTCAGTGCAGAGAGAGTCTAAACTGCTTAAGATGGAATTTGACGCCCACCACGGTTACGTCCTAAACCTAGCTTTCTAGCTTCAGCTCCTATTACAGCCTTACCCCCTCTTGTTAACTACTGTGTTAGCCTATTCACTTTTTCCAAAAGCCGTACCTTTTTATTTTTCATCCTATCTCCAATTTTTTTCTATTTCTACTATGAATAGTAGGATTTACAAGCACCAGAATCTGGAGTGTAGATTATTTTATTACCTTCAAACTAAATGGGCAGCTAGTGTGGTGCAGTGCCTCATGCCTGGAATCCCAGCACTTTGGGAGGCTGAGGTGGATGGATCGCTTGAGCCCAGGAGTTCGAGACCAGCCTGGGCAACATGGTGCAATCCCGTCTCTACCAAAAATACAAAAATTGGCCAGGTGTGATGGTGCATGACTGAAGTCCCAGGTACGGGGGTGCTGAGGTGGGAGGATCGCTTGAACCCGGGAGGTCAAGGCTGCAGTGAGCCATGATCACACCACTGCACGCCAGCCTGGGAAATAAAGTGAGACCTTGTCTCAAAAAAAAAAAAAAAAAAATCTAAATTAGCCATCAGAAAAAGGAAAGGGTGGTAGTGGGGGCAAGAGGAAAGACTGGGAAAGGCAATAGCCAGACTAAACTATTTGCCATTCTTTAAATGCCTTTCATTTTCTGAGCCTCCGTATACTATCCCCACTGCATGGAATGTTCTTTTACCTTGCCACCTGGAAAACTTGTGCTTATCTGTAGACTGGATTAAGGATTGCCTTGAAACCATGTGTTTACTTATTTTCTCCCACTTTCCTCTTTCAGGATAAAAACCATGTGTTACTCAATTTGATTCTCCATTGCCTAGCATAGTTGAAGGGCTCATAATGGACACTCAAATACTTGCTGAATGAATAAAATGAAATGTAGTGACATAAACTTTTCAAAGCTACCTCTAGCAAGAGAGAAAGAGAGAAAATGTTCAGAGATGGCTTTTGGAATATGGTAATAAATTCTATTTCTTGGCTTGGGGAATGGTACACTAAAGTTCATTTCAGTATTGTTCTTTAAACATATGTATTTTCTTACCCTTTTATATAGATTTTACAATTAAAAATTAAAAATCAATCAAGTCAATACTACTAGCACAATAAACCATAAAAGTACTTACCTCACTTTGTGGCTCCTGGATAACTTTATAGAGAGATGAAACTAAAGAACTCTTGTCTTTCAAATTTGTGGCATAATTTGATAAAGATGTTTCTGGTAATGTCTAAACAAATTTAAAAAAATACATTTTATTTTTATGAAATGTCCAGAATAGGCAAATCCATAGACGCAGAAAGTAAATTAGTTGTTGCCAGGACTGCAGAGGGGAGAAGAAGATTAGGAGTGACCAACAGGTATGAAGTTTCTTTTTGGGGTGATGGAAATGTGCTGAAATTAGATGCTGGCATTGGTTGTACAACACTGTGAATATATCAAAAACCAAGGCAAGGTAAACATGTTTACCTTAAATTAGTAAATTTTATGTTATATTAATTATATCTCAACAAAACTTCAAAATAAAACAAAAAATATATTTTATCCTCTTATCAACAAGGACATAAACTAACATCAACACTTCATCTTCGATCACAGTTTGGGATTAGAGATAAGAATATAGGCCAGGCACAGTGTCTCATGCCTGTAATCTTAGCACTTTGGGAGGCTAAGGCAGGAGGATTGCTTGACCCCAGGAGTTCAAGACCAGCCTGGGCAATATAGCGAGACCTCATCTCTACAAAAAGTAAAATTAGCTGGGCATGGTGGCACATGCCTATAGTCCTGGCTACTCGAGAAGCTAAGGTGGGAGGATGGCTTGAGCCTGGGAGGTCAAGGCTACAGCGAGCCATGATTCCGGCACTGCACTCCAGCCTGGGCAACAGAATGAGACAGGGTCAAATTAACTCCGGAGTTACATACTGTGACTGTTAAGCATGGGAAGGCTGTTCTACTTTACCAACTGAGGGGAAAATTTAGAACTTTCAGAGCTAGAGAAAAAGACATCCACACTACCAACAAACTAATTTTCCTAATGCTATTTAAAATGTGGACAACGAGTCACAGCTTGCCAGCACCACTTATTCAGAACGAACACCATGACCAGAGAAGAATGGGAAGAAATAAAACTCCAGTAGTAAGTCAGATGATTTTGAATAAAAGTGTAGGGAAATCTGAAAACAAAAACATTTCATTATCATAATGATAAAAACCTTTCCTTCTGGAGTACACCCCCTCCTCAGATATCTGTGACAGACAGCGATATCTGTCTCCTAAGTCATTATTCTATCTCACCCAAATTACTTCCTTCAGTCAATCAATGTCAATCCTGAAGTAGATACCATGTCTCAGGATATTCCTAACTCACTCTAAAATATACATTATTCCTTATATGTCTCATATCCTAGTATTTCAAAATTTAATATGGGTTATGATTAGCGTACAGGTGAATGTGTGCATAAATTAAACAGCATAAATTTTTACAATAAGGACATTTGATTCATTTTCACTTTACTGTGAGCTCCTTGAGGGCAAGAACTGTCTTATCATCTCTCCATGCACAGCACTCACCACAAGGCCTCATACACAAATCTTTGCTGAGGGAACATATTACAGATAAACAAAATAAGAAATAAAAATTGCCATTGTTTATACTTTGGTAGATTCTTTAAAAGTGGGTCACATTTCACCTTAGGATACATAAGTGAATAGATTTTTTTTTTAAGTTTAATAAGAGTTTTATTTACCAGAAGGGTAAGCAAATGTGGACTATTTGGAAACCTTTCACAATTCTCCAGAGTGGGGAAAAAAAGGTTTTACTGCAACTGCTTACACAAAGAAGAGATTAAGGCATTCTTCAATATTTCAAAAGCATGACACAAAAGATCTCCAGGCAACATTCCATTTCCGTCATTTGATCAAGAGTAACCTAGGCCGGGCGCGGTGGCTCAAGCCTGTAATCCCAGCACTTTGGGAGGCCGAGACGGGCGGATCACGAGGTCCGGAGATCGAGACCATCCTGGCTAACACAGTGAAACCCCGTCTCTACTAAAAAATACAAAAAAAAAAAACTAGCCGGGCGAGGTGGCGGGCGCCTGTAGTCCCAGCTACTTGGGAGGCTGAGGCAGGAGAATGGCCTAAATCCGGGAGGCGGAGCTTGCAGTGAGCCGAGATCTGGCCACTGCACTCCAGCCTGGGCGACAGAGCGAGACTCCGCCTCAAAAAAAAAAAAAAAAAAAAAGAGTAACCTAATACTTGGGGAATTTATATAAAAGGGAATAACAGTCAAATAAACAGCAGATTCCTAATCCTCTGAATAAAAATAAATCTAAATTATGTATAAAATGCATTATATATATTTAAAACACATTGATGTCTAACTTATGTAACTAAGTATACATGTCTAATATATATGTCTAACTATAAAATTAAAGAATAAATGAATCAAAATACAAATCTTTAGAAAAATTATTAGTGAATAGAAAGATTATTATTATATATACATATATATGATATAGGCTAAAACTAGATCATTCACTAAAAACATGAATTACAATGTTCAGCTTATATACTAGCTGACTGTCACGAGGTAAAATATTTTCTGTGAAACACCCAAAGGCAAAAAGACAGTTGTTTTCTGAAAAGACAAGCTCTAGAAAATACCATGGACCCAGGTTACCATTGATAAATGAAAGGAAGGGTATCTTAAAAATTAGTGCAGTAATAATACCTTTTATTCACAGTTCTGACATTTCATCTAATGAATGTGGGAAAAGTTAATTTTGTCTGTAGAGAGGGAGAAAATGTAACTGTTGTGTTCATAAATGGTGCTTTAAAAAACAAGATCTAAAAGAGCCAAATGAATTTAAATACTATTATAGCAAAAACATTTAAATTTTCATGCACTGTACTAGTTCAAAGGTACTGACCTTCTTAAATACCAGCTTAGCTTTCTCACATTTCAGAAAGCATAACTGGAGTTGAAAAGTACCTAATGGAAAATTATGTTGGTGTATTATTCTTGGCAAAATTTGACATCGGGTGTGATAGCTCACACCTGCAATCCCAGCACTTTGGGAGGCCGAGGCAGGTGGGACCCCGTCTTTAGTAAAACTACGAAAATTAGCCAGGTATGTGGTGCCATGTGCCTGTAGTCCCAGCTACTCGGGAGGCTGAGGCAAGAGAATTGCTTGAACCCAGGAGGCAGAGGTTGCAGTGAACCAAGATTGTGCCACTACACTCCAGCCTGGAAGACGGAGCGAGACTCTGTCTCGAAGAAAAAAAAAAAAAAAAAAAAAAAAAATTTGAAGACAGATGCCTCACACTAAAGTATCATTTGACAGATGGTTTTTCAAAAATGTGAGGAGGTGATATGGGTTGAGTAGCAGAGAATTAATCAAGATGGACAGATGGGTGAAGAACCAGTAATTAAAACAATCCTGTTCAACAACATCACACATAAGATTTGATTTTGAGTCACATATTGAGATTCAGCAACTATCAGAAAATTTTAAAAAATTAGGAGTCCGGAAATCTGCAAGATAAATCTACCACACAGCAGTAACAAAAATAACACAATCTGAAAGATAATATTTTATAAATAAATCTTTGAAAAGATAGAGCTTGAACTATTCATGAAATCTTAAAATAATGAAGTCCTAAACTAATCATTTAGTTGGTATATAAAGAAAATAGGACAAGCACAGTGGCTCACACCTGTAATCCTAACACTTTTGGGAGGCCAAGGCAAGCAGATCACTTGAGGCCAGGAGTTCGAGACCAGCCTCGCTAACATGGCAAGACCCCATCTCTACTAAAAATACAAAAATTAGCTGGGCATGGTGGTGCACACCTGTAATCCCAGCCACTCAGAAGGCTGAGGCATGAGAATCATTTGAACCCGGGAGGTACACGTTGCAGTGAGCCAAGATTGTGCCACTGAACTGCAGCTTGGGTGACAGTGTGAGACCCTGTCTCAAATTTTAAAAAAAGAAAATACTAATGAGAGTCCATAGCTAGAACAGACACTGAATAATTTTATCAAATTTTCAATTTCAAAAATTTTAAATAAAGTATTTGTACAAAGTAAACTGTGTCATCTCTACACATTTGAGAGATGTTGGGTGAGGTTAGGAGTTCAGACTGACCGTGGACCAGTGTAGAGCTAAAAATCATCTTCATAAACCACTTACAGTATTTTAACTTTTCTGATGAAAATATGAGACCCGGAGAAGTTATGCCCAACATCATAAAACCAGCCTAGGGGAGAATTAGAATTAAGTCAAAGGGTTTCTGACTTTCAGTTTACTTACTCAATCATGAGTAAGTGGCCTTATTAGCATCATGGCCTTATTAGCATCATGGTTATTAAATCAAACAACCAAGCAGAAGCTTTTCTAGAAATATGTATGTAACCAAAACCTTTCTTAAATATTTTAACAAAAATGTGTATTTAACATCAGAGATTTCAAAAGATATGTTACTCTAATTTTAGAAGTACTTAGTAGACATGTTCCCAAGCACTGTTCTATATTCTATTACCTCTGGTATGCTGCTGATTTTGCCTGAAAACCTTCTTCTCTTTGTCAAACATAGAGCTGAATTCAACACACATTAACCCAATTTAGAATAACACTCCAAATAATTATCAGGAATGCCTACCAAACTAACCAAGGAATGGGAAATATCCTTCCTTGAACTGGCTATAATACAGATTTGAAAATAATTTAAAACATTTGAGTATCAAATTGATTCAAAATTGGGTAAAGTTAATCTTGGGGTTGGGCAGGAGAAACTTCTTAAACTACATTTTATTTCTTGTAGGCCATGATTTCACTCCCTCCTCCTAAAGGAAAAGTTTCCCTATGCTTGCATTAAATTTATTAAAAATGTTAATAAAATACTGCTAGCCACATAATATGTTATGTTGATAAAATACTACTTAAATAATATTTTCTATTTATTCATACTCTGGTTTCTTGTAGCAGAAGATGGTATTTGGAAAGCAAGATCTGGGTGCTTAGTGTACTCACTGCAACCGGGGTGCCATTGTTTCTAGGTCCTCCTAGTGAACAAAGCTAGGGAATAAATGTATGCATATATGTACAGACACACACACACACATATATCATATGCATACTTAGAACCCGTGAGTTCATAATGATTCCAATACAGCACCTTAGAGTTCTTTCTTGACTTTTGCTGTTCCATGATTGTAATTCCCTTTTTAGACAGACAGAAATCTAACTCCCATTATATTCAAAGTATTTACTTATTTGTTCAATCAACTTATTTGCTCAATGTAACCAATCTACCAGTGTAACTATTCTGGTTACTCTTCTACATGCCACCTCTGTAGTCCTTCACCCCAACCACCTACTTCCTCAGACACTACTGCCAATAACCGCTGCTCTGCCCCTCACTCCTTGGTACTGCACTTCCTAGGTGTCTATATATTCAAACCAGGAGGGGAAGGGAATAAATGAACAGATGGGAAAGGAAGGAGATCAGTCATGGTTTTCCATTATTTGCCTTACTAGCTGATCCTACCCCTACAACCCACCTTTTAACATGCTCTCTTTCCACAACTCCATCTTAAAGAATGGATAGCTAGCGATATTTGCTTTTGCATATTTTACTTCATCATGAAACATAAGAACGCCCTAGAAGAAATAGCATTCAACTGTTAAACTTGACAATTTCCATCAATCTGCCAAAAAAAAAAAGCCATGATAAAAGACTATGTTAAACACAAAGATAACACAAGCAGGAAACACACACACACACACACACACACACACACACACACACACACAAGATTAATCAAAGTTTATTTGTTTCGTTTTTTTGTTTTCCTTTTAGAGACAAAAGTCTCACTCTGTCACTAGACTGGACAGCAGTGGTGCTATCATAGCTCACTGCATCTTTGAATTCCTGGGCTCAAGTGATCCTCCCATCTCAGCCTCCCAAGTAGCTGGGGCTGCAGGCATGCACCAACAAGCCCAGCTAATTTTTTTTTTTTTTTTTTTTTTTGTAAAGAGGAGGTCTTGCTATGTTGCCTAGGCTGGTCTTTTGTTTGTTTGTTTGTTTGTTTTTGAGGCAGAGTCTCACTCTGTCACCCAGGCTGGAGTGCAATGGCGTAATCTCAGCTCACTGCAAGCTCTGCATCCTGGGTTCATGCTATTCTCCTGCCTCAGCCTCCTGAGTAGCTGGGACTATAGGCGCCCGCCACCACGCCAGGCTAATTTTTTGTATTTTTAGTAGAGACGGGGTTTCACCATGTTAGCCAGGATGGTCTCGATCTCCTGACCTCGTGATCCGCCCGCTTCGGCCTCCCAAAGTGCTGGGATTACAGGCGTGAGCCACCGCGTCCGGTGCCTAGGCTGGTCTTAAACTCCTGGCCTTAAGCAATCCTTCCATCTCCGCCTCTCAAGTGCTAGTATTACAGGCATGAGCCACCACATCTGGCCACAAGTTATTAAAATATGTAGAAAGCACTTCTGTAACATTCTATGTCACTTCATGATGACTTAGGGAATCCATAGAAGGATGCTCAATTAATGGCTACAAAAGCTGAGACAGTAAAAGTCTGCCCAGCTATTCATCAGGATTAGCTAACAGAGACAGATAAGGCCAGTTGTAAAATTAACAGGAAATGGTGCTTTTCCTAAATACACACTGCAACTGAAAAATGTCATAACAATCTCCTTCTTTGAGTGACTACTGAATTCTTACTTACTAAGATGACTTGTTGCCTAAAATTACAGATTATAAAAAAGTTTGTTGTTGAACATGTATCAGTAAGAACAAAACATCCCACTCTTGCCTAGAGCATCTAAGTCACTTTAACATAGAGAAGCAGCCTTGATTTTCAACCCAGGTACAAAGATATAAATACAGAGTTTCCGAACATAACATTTCAAATCTATGTTAACTTTGTAGTTTTCAAGACAACAAGATCCTGGGTCTACTTTGAAGGCCAGACCAGATGTTCACTCCATTATAAACAGCCCTGCTTTGTTTTGAGTCTACCAGAATACTGTTCCATTTAAATTTTACCTAAACTCTACCCTTCCTCCAAATTATTATAACTTTATCTTTTCTTTGGTTTGGTGAGATGGTCCCATGGTATCTGTTGGGCAATCTCTCTCAATGCAACAAGTCAATAAGCCTGACTTTGTCAGACTGTAACTTTGTCCTTATAGGTCTTGGGCTGACTGGGCTGGACAAAATCAAAGTGACAGTTGCAGCCCAAACTCTTCATTCCTGTGGTTCATGATCATGCAGGTACACATAATTATGTGTCATATAAGGACAGAGAAAAGTAATTAGCTGATTAAAGAAACACTATTTTAGCTATCCTAGAGAAAATTCATGAGACAAGAAAATATAAGTTTTATTTTCTTCATTAACTAATCAAAGGTTATACACCCCTTATATAGCCACTGGGTTAGCCAGCTAGAGAAAGACCCACTGGTATAAAGTTGAGCAAATATCTTCCCTCATTGTTGGTTGTGCCCAGTACCACTGTCCTCCAAACTGCAAGAAACATTTTGACAATGAATCATTGATGGTCGCTGGAGAATGACATCAACATTCAGAGACTTTAATTATTTGTGGTATTGCCATGAAAGAAAGAAAATAAACAAACGAATAAACTCTTTGAACCACTTGGGAGAAAAAAGGAATCAATTTCCTAGAAAAGATTACTATGTGTAAATAACTCTCTATTGAGATTTGATAGAAAATACTTCTTCCACAGATATTTAACCCTTCAGTCATATAAAATACAAAGAATCACTGGAATTTAAACCCCAGACAAAACTTCTTTGGACTATAATTACTATAGTAGAACAGTAAATATTACCTTAAACTCTGACAACCATTCCTCCACAACCCCTTTCTCTGAAGTAAACATTTTTCCACATCTGTTCTAAACCTTCAACCTGAAAATTAACATAGAAAAATGTTAACGTTTTGAATACATTTAGTCAGATTACTATGAATAGAGATAATCCTATAAAGTTGTTACTTCATATTTGTGAAATGAGTTTCAAACATAAATTACTAAATTCATTTCAAAACCAATGTGCACAAACAAGCCTTAAAATGCAAGAATTCTGACAAAAGCATACATATCATAACATGATGAAATTGGCTCTGCAATTTTCATTTGGTTTTCAGGAATGCCAGCTGCAAAACATACTGGACATTTTTCTCTAGTTTCAATAAAATAATTTCAAAAAGATCATTGAACTTAAAAAAAAGGCAGAAAATATTTCAAAACTGTGAAAATATAAGAAGACATGCATCCAAAATTGACTTTATAGAAAGCATTAAAGTAATTTAATTTGCTTATATTTCAGTTCTTTACAACAGTAACTAGGCAAGCCATTTGGTTTCATGAAAGTGTAATACTCATTTTTTAAAAAGTAAAAGTGACAATATTCAAAATGACCATATTTGACAATAGTTATTCAGAAGATTGGGATTTACTTAAGTATAAATTTAAAGAAACAAGCTAAAGGAAATGCAGAACAGTTTTATCTCAAGCAAAATGTCAAAATACAATGTATTTGTCTTTACCCATCCATTTGTATGGGAGTACACTTGGAAACTATTTCCTGATGGAAAAGTTGAGCTCTGTCTGAATTTCCTAACTTCCAGATTCAGTCACAAATCCTTCATTAGGCTACTTAATTTTTATCAGCATTATAACGTAGTAGAATCTCAGGCAGAGTAGCCAGAAATGAATTCTGATTCTATTATTTACTTACAGTACTACCTTGGGCAAGATATTTGCCTTACTTTTTTTTAATCTGCAAAATAGGGATAATGATAGTACCTATTTGCAAGGAGTTATTGTGAGGAGTACATGTTAAAATGCAAATAAAAGCAGTTATTTCCATTTCTGGCAACAAAGTATTATTACTATGCAATAGTATTATTATTAATTCTTATAAACTCTGCTCAACTGTCTATCAAAGTATCCAGATATGCCTTAATGAACAACACAGGTTCTAGTCAAAGAATACATTCTAAGGTTCCTGGTGTCTAATTCTCATAAAATACATGATTAAAACATTTTTTTGGTCATTCATTCATTCATTCACTCGTAAAAGATTACTTGAGTAATATGAATTTTATTGTTAATATAAAAAATATTCCTCCTTGGATCAAGTCAGACTAACAGAAAACCACATACATGTGGTGTATTATTGATTTTATAGAACTGTCTGTTTGGAGAAACTGGGCTTTGAAATAATGTCCAAAATGTTACCAAAGCACTGCTAGATCACATTTATCCTCCTTAAAAGCCAACAGAGTCTAGAAAATTCACATCTTAAGTTTTCAGTACCAGGAAAACCTCTCCTTTGGAGTAACTTGTTTGTTTTTATATTATGAATACTGTGAGTTTCATAACTGATTCTCTTTGTCTTACTCTTATTTTCTGTCTGCCTGTATCTACGTTGTTTCATGTTGTTATGTATATTTGTAAAACAAAGCCAATATAAATGCACAAAAATTTTCTTTTGTATGAATTACATTGTTTAATAAATTAGGACTGAAAGTTATCACAAATGGAACCACACTACATCAAGTTACATAGAACTGGGGAGGTAAAATTTTTACAAAAATTCACAATAACTCTCCAATTAAAATTAAGGTTAACTTTTTTTAAATTAAAAGAAATCAAGGGCTGTCTTGAAGAACAACAGCGCTGTGGGACCTGGACTTCCGATAGCAAAGCTCAGTATAAAACTTACCAAAAACTATGGTAATTAAGCCAGTGGTGGCACTGTCGGAAGGATAGAAATCAACCAATGGAACAGAATAGAGTGGCCAGAAATAGACCCACACATACATGGTCACCTGATGTATGACAAAAATAACACTGAAATTCAGTGAGGAAAGGATGATCCTTATAATAAATGGGGCTAGGTTATTTGGATAGCTACAAGGGGAGGACAAAAAGAACCATGACCCCAGAGATCATGCTGCATGCAAAAACAAAAAAACAGTTTCAGTTGGATCATAGATCTAATTATGAACAGTAAACCATAAGGCTTCTAGAAGAAAATGCAAGAGAGTACTTTCATAATCTTAGGCTAGGCAAAGGTTTCTTAAACAAGAGGCACAAAAGCACTAACCACAAGGAGGAAAAAAAGGATAAACCAGACTTCCTTGAAAGCAAAGAATTTCTACTCCCCAAAAGATACCACTAAGAGAATGAAAAGGCAAAGCCATAGAGTGGCAGATGATATCTGCAATTCATATATATGACAAAAGTTTCATATCCAGAATATATAAAGAACTCATAAATTATTAAGAAAAAGGTAGACAATCCTATAGGAAAAACCAGACCATCATTTATTCAAATGGAAACTTAGCACATGAAACGTGCTCAACTTTGTTAGTCATCAGGGAAACGTCAGTTAAAACCCACAGTGAAATACAGCATACAGACACACACACACACACACACACACACACACACACACACGTGTAGCTAAAATGAAAGCCAGATCACACCAAGTGTTGAAAAAGATACGGAGCAATCAATATTCAGACACAGCTAATGTGAATGCAAATTGGTACAGTATCTTGGAAAACTCTTCAGCGATATCCTCTAAACTTGAGGATATATACATATACTCTATGAACCCAGAAATTCTACCCATGTTAATACTCAACAGAAATGAGGACATTTGTTCTCCGAGAGCTATGTTCAGAAAAAATGTTCATCTGCGCAATAGGTTTTTGTTTCTGTTTTGTTTTTAGAGACAGGGTCTCACTCTGTTACCCAGGCTAGAGTGCAATGGCGCTATCACAGGTCACTGTAGCCTCAAATTCCTGGGCTCAAGGGATCCTCCCACCTCAGCCTGTCAAGTAGCTGAGACTACAGGAGTGTACCACATGCTTGGCTAGAGCAGTTTTTTTTTAATAGTCAAAAACCAGAAACAAACCAAATATCCATCAATAGTTGAATGAATCAATTATGGTACACTGTACAACATCTGAAATTCTATACAACAAAATATAACTTTGAATGAATAAACTGTATCTGTGTTACGGTGTTGGATAAAAGAATGCAGGAAAAGAGAGTACATACTATATAATTCCATTTATGTAAATTTCAAGAACAGATAAAACGAATCCATTTGTGTTAGAAGTTGGGATGGTGGCTGCTCTTGAGGGGCCTATCTAGTCGGTTCTGGTAACATTCTGTTTCTTGATCTAGGTGCTGGTTACTCAGGTGTGTACATTTGGTGAAAATTTGCCAAGCTGAACACTCATAATTTGTACATTTTTCTGTGTGTATATTATACATTAGTAACACCAGTCAGCCCTGGGTCTCTTTTCTTCCAGTTGATAGAGATCAAATGGGTGCCCTCATTGTATAGCTGAGCTCACATGGACACTCACCTGTTTAGCATGCATGCAAGCTCAGAATAAAATTGTTCCTCCCCAAACTTCTCTGTCTCCTGTAGAACTCAAAAGGGAGTCTATGACATGCCTCCCTATCCTGAAAGTTTCACAGTCTCATCACCACTGTCTGCCTTAGGTCCACCAGGACTAAAGTCATTATTCCCTTCATCCCTGTTTATGTCCGGCACCACAAGAAGCTACAGACACCTAGGTGACATTCATCTCCCACACACTGTCATCATAACTCTTTGTACATCTTCTGTTTTGCTCCGATCTCCCATCCCCCATCCCATCCTAATTCTGGAAGGAGGATATACTTCTACTGTGTCCTCTGGAATTTAGAGTCTATTACCAGCAAAATCCTCTATATCTTCAACAATTCTTCAAATGTTTTCTTCTTTTCATGAGACACTAGTTTCCCTGCATGCAACCTTACCAAATAGTGATTGCATTTCCTCACACATCCCTGAAAGAAACCACTGGGCCTAGAGGTAAAGTAGGTGTTCTCCTTCCTTCTTATTACCACTCAAGATCATTCTCTTCCTCCTTCAACCATCCACCCAAAGCTGCTTTGAAACTCTGTCACCATCATCAATCAATCAATCCACCCCAAGCCCTTGCCCTGCTTGGTCTCTCCCCTTCATTTCTGGATGATCTTAGCTCCTAGCTCACTGTCATGCTTTCAAACAACTCCTGCTTAAATCTTGGTGATTTTTTTCTTGCCTGAAGTCTTAATTCCTAGAAGTCTTAATTCCTAGATTTCTCCTCCTACACTATTGTCTTCCTCCCTGCCTTAGCTACTCAATCCTATGATCATAATCTATGATCATAGCCTAGACCACCTGTTTTCAAACATTTTGGTAAGGTACTCTTTATACTATTAAATATTAAGCCAACCTGAAAGAATACCCAATGGCTAAAGCTGGAACAATCTGAGCAACAGAACAAATAATGTAGTATTGAATTATAACCCAAAGTATAAAATAAATATACATGAGGCCATACTCATATAAATAAATGATTAAATAAATAAGAGAATAGGAGGTAAAGCTTCCTTACAGAAGAATTCCAAATAATAGATGTAGACACTATCTCTTCCAGGAGGTAGAGCTTAGTCCTTGCTTCGCCATTGAGAGTGCATTGGACATAGCTATTCACTTCCAAAAAAATAGAGTATGGAAAGAAGAAAAGAGCAACTGTATAGTGGTGAAACCTGGCAAGCACTGCCTTGATCAAAGCTAACATCAACATGATGTCATGTGAATATCAAGTACCATCCAATATGATTACAGACATGAGCCACCGTGCCTGGCCCCTGGTAAGTTCCTCTTAACTATAAAAGAAAGAATATTTTTAGAAGAGAAAGTATGGCTCGGTGCGGTGCCTCATGCCTGTAATACCAGCACTTTGGAAGGCTGAGGCGGGAGGATCACTTGAGGTCAGGAGTTTGAGAAAGCCTGGCCAACACAGTGAAACTCCTCTCTACTAAAAATACAAAAATTAGCCAGGCGTGGTG